AATATGCTTATTTTTTAAGGAAAAGTGAAGATTGATGATCAAAATGCGTCAGACACATTGCAGGACTAGAATTTCTAACTTACTAGAGAATGAGCAGTCAAGTTACTTTGAAAGTTTCAACTTCACAATGCTTCAGCCACATTCGATGCCTAAATTATCAAAACGGGAATAACAAATTTTGACCAAGTAATTGGTCCAAGATTTGTTATTAGTTCCTAATATCTCTACAACAACTAGTGGTTGCCAACTTCCCTTGAATTTCTCAAATCCTTGTTACTTCCATAGCCTATAAAAAGAGCCTCCAAGCATCACTTTTACACATCTAATTTTCCATGCATTTGTTTTCCTTTCCACTTTAGTTTTGTAGTTTTTATTTAAGTTTTATTTTCAATTATTTTTCTACAATTACTCTTGTTTATTTTATTTTATTGCAATTCAATTTGTTCCATTTTGTACTTTCTTTCCAATTCTAATTAAAATGCTTTATTTTGTTATCTTCACTTGTGTTTTAATTTCTTTCAATTCCATGAGTAGGTAAATTGTTTCTTGAACCCTCCTACGAGTTTAGTTCATCTATTTAAATTACATCTATCAGTGAGCATGACGTATTACGCTATCTTTTGCTTATCTTGATTGATTTAATTTATCCAGTTGGTTTTCTTGTTGGCCACTTATTTAAATCACATTAGTTTGAATTTAATTCTGAAAAGGTTAGAGTCAAACGGATCTCATCAAGGTAAAACGGGAAGTTACTTAGAAATAAGAACTAAAACAAGATCCTAGACATATGATCTCTTACCCGTTAAACGTAAGTTGTCACTTGATTTATTTAGAATTCTAGAGTTGTATAGACATATGTAAACACTAGCCTAAGCTTCTAAACAAACCAAAAGCAGTATGGAATAGGAGTTGAACCAGTTTGCATAAATTGAGTGTAATTACGGACACATTTGGTAGGTGTAATTCATCATTTTAGAACGAAACAGTAGTAGGGGGTTGGCCTTTTAAATTATATTATTTTCGTGTGATTTTCGTAATTCAACCAATCTCACCAATTTTTATCACGAACTCGATTGCTCATTCCAACAATTTACAAAATCAATTTTAAAAGAAAACTAGTCCCTGTGGAGACGAACTTGGAATATTTCCAGATTATTACTTGTGACAGTGTGCACTTGCACTTATCCTCTAGCTATTAAGCAGAGGCGCAACAGGCCTCCATGTTTTTTAAAAAATTTGTTATATTTGAAAAATTCGAATATAGATGCTAATTTTATTATTTTACCTAATATTTTTGCCATTATTGCAACCGACTCTTATTTTATTGAAACCCATAATATCATCAAAATCTCACCAAAATCTCTTTTAATTTTATTTTAAAAAATTGGTAGGACGATTCTTCCCATTKTTTTCTTCTTCCCTGTAACTTCTCACCTCCTTCTTTCTCTCTTTTTGTTCTCCATTTTTTTTCTCAACTCGAAGCAGTAGTGTAACTTTTTTTTTCCTCTTTCTTCATCTACATTTCTTTTTCTTCAACTTGATCAAGTTTACAGGATAAAAAATTGTTCGTAGCAATTTTTGCAAAGGGATATGTAACTGAAGAAGCTTTGGGACATTGTATTATAGTTGCTACAATTTTTTTCTTGTTTCCCTAAACTATAGCTTGAGATGACCAAATATCACTACTGCATCAAGTTGAGAAAATAATGGAGACGAAGAAAGAGAAAAAGTAGATGAGAAGTTGTAGGGAGAGAGCAAAAATGGAGAAATTAAAAAAAAATACTAAAATAAATTTTGATGAGATTATGAGATTTAATAAAATAATTAAAAAAAAAACAATAGGCAACATTGTTTTCTTATTATGGGACACGTCAGAGTTAGAGTAAGGAGTACAGTGCTTCTTACGGTGAAGGAGTGAAGTAAGATTTGTCAAAATAGAGATATGAGCCATGTGAAAATTGTAAAATTACCTATACTTAAAAAACAAATAAACAATTTACAGAAAGAGGAAATAATAAAATTTTTGTCAACCTCCTAATATATGATTTATACTCCAAATTTAAGAAACCCTAATTTCTTTCCCCCTCAAAATCCACATACCCCTCCCTCCCTTTATCTCCCTCACAAACCCGAATCTCTCTCTTTCTCTCTCACTAAAACTAGTCGCCACCTTCTTCCTCTTTCCTTTGGTGAGAACAAGTGTTGGCGACGACCCTACGATAGAAACCTTGCACCAACGCATTCTCAAGCAGCAACAAGACACCATTTGCAACAGTGGTTGATGTTGGGAAAAAATAATATAAATCAATCGATCCTCCTGTAAGTTCTTCGAACAGGAACTATTTGATTTTCCCCTTCCACAGGCTAACAGCAGATAAGTAACAATAACAAAGGAATAAGAGATAGGGATTGAAAAGCTTAACACAACAGTTATTATACTGGTTCACCCCTATCTTGGGACTACGTCCAATCTTCTGCAAAAAAACGGATTCAACTATAGTTGCGAATATTACAATAGAGATCTCATTCAAGATATTACTATCTTGCTTCACTAGTAGAAATTCAGTTTATCATGAGGTTTTTTAACGTCACAAAAATCTTTCATGACGTTTTTAACTCCATCACGTATATGCCCATCACGAAAGGTATACGAGATGTTTAAAAAACGTCATAAAAATTAGCACACGTGACGGTTAATTATCGTCATGAAAGACATGGACTTCCACGACGTTCATAAAACGTCATGAAAAATGATTTCGTGACGGTGATACAAGGTCATGGAAAAACCTTGAACAGGGGAGGAGAGGTCATGTGACATCCTTTCATGATGGTGTTTAAACTTCACGAAAGTATATTTTTGTGACGGTTTACAAACGTCACTAATGATTTCATTTTGTGACGATAAAAAAGAGTCACAGTTTGTGCGTCATCGTTTGTACGTCCCTATTTGCGCGTCATGGAATGTACAAATTTTATAATAACTCAAAAACTAACTATAATACGTATGAGACCCTCGGTCCCTCCACAAACTACATTCAACAACAATCCACAATTCTATATATAAACTTCTATATAATTAACACCTTCTATACATAATACGTGGACCACCCCTCCCTCCACAAACTACATTCAGAAACAATCTAACATTTACAAAAAAAAAACTGTATCTAAGTAATAAAAATGAAATCGATATATTCAAATCTTAGTACTGTATATAGCACATACTAGTCTTCCCATCTCTCCATAAATCATATCTAACTTACAAAGATAAACAYAAATTGTTTGAAAAAATAAATACAAGACTCTGAAATATTTCAATTTGAACTAAAATACCAACCAATTAAACTAGAGATATGAAGCTTCCATTGCTCTAAATCCATCACTTGCTTCTATTGCTTTTTTGTTGTTTAATTTTTTCCATACTCCACAAAAAATCTAGAACATGAATTCAAGAGAAATAAGTTAGCTCTTGAAATAGACATAGCTCTTGAAACAAACATTCGAGTCAAACACTAAGAAGACTACCTTCGTAGCTTGTTTCTGTCCAGCGTAATTAAATTATGTGAAAGACACTATTTCGACTGCTATGCTTTTTACATAGAATATCATAGTAGGCCTTCAAGAATTTTAGGACTCAAGATACTTGGAAATAATCAGTAGGCTAGAGAAAAAATGCATTTCAATATAAACTATTTTTCATGTATTAGAACCACCTAGAATGTTCGTAGCTTCATAGCTTCCCTAATGAAATGTTCGTTTTTATATTTTTCATAGCTTCCCTCATGGAATGTGCATAGCTTCCTTAATGGAATGTCTGTCATTAAAAAACATGCAATTACTAATTACCTAAAATAAATGATATACCATTCATCTCTCTAAAATAAAACTAAACATACAAATATATCTAATTCACTAAGAGGATTCAATACTCATTCATCAAACACAAATAAAAAAAAAAACTAAAAATAAAATTTCGGCATGACTTATGCTAGAAATTACCACCTTCTTTATAAATATAGATTATTGTCCTAGCTATCAAGTGTACTATTAGCAAAAGGGAAAGACATTTTCTTCTCAGCTTCACAAACTCAAGGTTATGGTATATTACAAGCAGAAACAACAACAACAAGGAAGCTTTAGAAATGGAAGGACAAAATCGTTCTCACTCAAGGAAAAGAAAAATCAATTAGTCTTATCTCATTTATATTGATAAATTTTGTATATCAATAACAAGTGAATAACATTGGCTAATAAAATATCTTTACATCTATTGATGTCACAGGATGATGTAGAATCGTTGCACATGACAATTGAATATAAAGATAAAGGTAGTTGAAAATACACATTTCCTATGGAAGCCAATAAACCACCAACAACCACATAAGCAAAACCATCATCAGTAGGACCTTTCTTAAAACAAGGAGCTTCAATATGTAACTTACAAAGATATGCAAAAAAATTGTTTAAAAAAATAAATACAAGAGACCTTTCCACTTGAACTAAAGACCAACCAATTGAATTGGAGGTATGAAGCTTTCATATTGCTCTAAATCCATCATTTGCTTCCATTGATTTTTTGTTATTTAATATTCTCCAAACTCCACAAGAAATCTAGAACATGGACTTAAGAGAAATAAGTTAACTCTGGAAACAAACATTCAAACCAAATGCTAATGATTACTAATTTGAACTTAATTCTTCATCTTAACATAATGGGAAACAAGATGTAATCATTCTAAAACACAATACTTAAGCGTGTCAATCAAAATCATTCATTCACAAATTTATCTAATCTACAATTCAAACAAAATGGACATGGACAATGAAACGATAGTCAAATATAATTATAAAAAAATGTTCATTTAGTAGAAGACTAAAACTGTATAATTCATTGCATTCATATATTGCAACTTGATATTGAAGTAATGGCAATGATCCCTTGGATCTGCTTGTTCTGCAAATAAAACTATAATCATCGTGATAGTTCTTTAGCTGCAAAAAGAACATTATCATAATGAATTTGAAGATCGAAAAATAGGTCGATAACACCATAATCATATCATATCGAGAAGTTTAAATGATTGCAGGGTCCCTGATACTTGAGAGCTGTAAGATCATAAGCTCTTGTTGAGGATCAAGAAAAGAACTAAAATAAGAAATTAACTTCTCGGATTGTAATTTAACCATTACGGAAGAACATTTCAGTTCAGTCGAAAACCACAATAGAAACTCAACATATAATTATTCAATATTATAATAGACACACTATTTACCATAGAGTTAAAATGGTAAAATTTGAATTCCACAAGAGGAACTCAACATGGAAGCAGTCAAATATAAGCATGAAAAAATATATAGATTAACGAACTTTGGTCATACTAATTAATAAGAAGTTGTTATTTTGTAATGATACCAATTTCTACCTAAGCAGAAGAGAAATTCCTGAAGTCAAGAAAGCAAAAATAACAACAAGAAAAGACCTAGTCACTTAACCTTCTTTGGAACTTAGGACTTTCCACTGGTGACCATTATGCAAAATACGAAAAACCAAGGTCAAAGGAAAAGACTCCAGATGGAAGAACTGGAACTCGATATAATGCAAACTCCACAACTACAAAAACTCAATTATAATTAAGTTTAATGAAAAATATTACACATAAATATAAGTTTTGATTCGAGATTTTTAACAAACAAGGTCTCGAGAAAAATCTAGCTAAAGCCCAACATTTACACTTATACACAAAAAATTAGTTCAAATCGTTAGCTATTTGGAGATCAAATCATCAAATATCACAACCATAAACAAGCAAATAGTTCCAACAATTAGCAAGCATAACAGAAAAGTTCTTAACATTAAAGAAGTTAGTTATAAATAGCCATTTGTTTAGTCATTGCCACTGTGCTTCATTGATCATCTTTGATTGAGTCACCTGAATATCATCATTTTGCTAATTTGTATTGCCAAAAAGAAAACATTTAGACAAAACAATAACTATTTATTTTCATTCAAACTGTAATGCATATATACTTGACGAGAAAAATATAATGCTTTACAGTGACTGTAGTCATAACAGAGCATAATCAAACAATTATAAACAACTAGAATCAATCATATCCATCCAGAACATCCAACATTCATAAAGAAACATCTAGCAACAATATCCAACGCGCATTAAGAGATAAAAAACATAGATTAAAACATGTCATTCATACTAAACGCTCCTAACTTCTTGAGTCGGATTGAAACCTAGGCAACAAGGTAAAATCAACATGTTACAACTCAGTTTTGGCTACTAAAGTTGAATCTAAAATGGTGTTCAAAGGGTCATTACCCACTAAACCTTGCTGAAACGATGGCGAAAGTGTTGAGACTTGTAGATTTGATGACAAAAAGGTGTGGGTATCACAGATCGGGCTTTGTTTGGGCATGAGTAAGGCGTAAATTTAGAATAAGACAATTTACTCTACCAAGATTATGTAGGACACTTGTCCACAAAAAATGGTTTAAAATTTAACAAACCATACCATAGTAACCAATTGGGCTAAACTAACAAACTCTCCATTGAACCATTCTTGTAAACTATAACAAATTCCAGATTGGATGTAACAAAATCAGGAAAAAAAAAATACAACTACATGGGAATCACTTTTCAGTAATTTCTGATTTGGGTTAAGTTAAAAAAAACATATAATCTCACAATCAGATCAAAATAATGGCCATATAACAATTATCACCTTTGCTTTCCCTCCTAGTCTAGTTTCAGAAGCAAGGATTCGACTTTCCATAATCTTCTTCAAGTCGCTACGTAACCTTCTCTTGAAGTCTTTGAACATTGGTGAACCTCCAAATAGTAATGTATTCAAAAGTATAAGAAATAAATCTATTCAATAAGAGAAATAGGCTTTTGTAAAGAATAAGAATGACTACCACAATGAAAAACAATCATTGTATATGTCTAAGCTATTGAATTGAAGTTAATCTCAATAAGAAGTCATGTATAAAAAAACACTCAAAAAAAAAAAACAAAAGGAAAATAAACTGGACATAAAGTAAATGTGATAATTGAAAGATGATAGAAAATAGAGCAGCAAACAAAAAGTTAATAGAAGTCTACTTAAGAAACAAAAATCATCTAGAAAGGAGACCAAACTAACCTTAGAACTTCTCTTGCACAACCAAATGAAGAATAAAAAGGAAGTTTGTTCTCGAGATGACAATGGATGATACACGTTCCATGATATGCAATTAGCATTTGAATCATTCCAAACATCTTGGAAGAAAAATGACTTGGGGTCAGCATTAATATTATTCAAGAAGGTGGAGTCAGAGAGGTAAATATGTACAGTTGTACAGTTTGCCCATTTAAGGCATTTCTCTTTTAATTACTCATTGAGGGACCGTCTTCTAACAGCTTTTGTAATAGCTTAAATTAGGGCAATTTCAACAGCAAGGACATCATAGAATCCTAATACAAAGTTTAATAATATATTTAAAATTTTTTAAGTTCAAGATCTAAATTGGCACAATTGAAGACTAACTTTATGATTCATAATAATAATAGTGATAGTGAAATTTGCTTACAACACCACTTCTCTGAAGATCAAGTGCCTTTTGGAATATAATTTCCATATCATCTGACATCAAAGGCATTGCATATAATTTCAAATACAAATTGTAAGCTGCGAACTTTAAACTAACTCCTAAGTCCTATCCTTTCACTTCAATGGTCAAAAACATCCTTTAAACTCATAAAACATATAAAGACTTTTGATTGATTAGAAAGTTCATCACTATCAAACTAACCTAGAAATACTCCATTGACACTAAGAATACCAGTAATTGAATACTTGAAATGAACAACAATCCGACAATCAACTTCCTTAGACAAAAGACAAATGAAATTAATAGTAGTAACGATGTATAAATAGAGTATTAGTAACCAAAACTTGGAGAGATAAACTAGGAATCTGATATGCTGACATACCAAAATTAAAAAAAAAAAATCTCAAACAAAACAAGAAAAAATTCACTAACAACACTCTAAATTAGGGCATTAAAAGGGCAACGTACAAGGCTAGAAGCCCCCAAATACCTCACCTGACAAACCTTCAAACTTGAATTTAGAACGAAAGAGCACAAGATAACAGAGAGGGCTAGGCCAATTGAACCCGAAGTTGAAAGAAAGCTATAAATTTGAGAAAAAGAAAGAAGTGGGTTATGCACCTAATCGAACTCACCAGAAAATGTTCAGCGTTTGCCAAAGGAAAAATGTGAAGGACGAAGCACAGAAGAATCACCGCTCAAACAATCGCTCAGTAAAACGCCCGTTGAAGTTCACCGCACAAACGAATGCTCTTGGGTTCGTCGTTGCTCGTTGTCGCACGCTACCAAGAGAGAGGAGATACAGTGTAGAGGAGAAGAGAAACTACGACCCAAAAGAGAGAGGAGAAGACAAGGGTTTGATTGTTTGGAGTGGGAGGGAAATTCATTTGGGAAGTTTTGGGAGGGAAGGAAATAACTTGGACTTCGTATTTTTTATTTTTTGGATTTTTTTAGATGGAAATATTAACTTTATATATATAAAAAAAAGATAGAAATATCAATACAATTTTTTATTTTTTTAATCACAAAAAGTAAAAAATTCGGAACACTACATCTTTTCCTGCAAAAAAACGCGCCTCAATCTTTCGTGACGTTTTTTAAACGTCACAAAAAATCAACTTTTTGACGACCATTTCGTCACGGTTAAAAAATGTCACGAAAGGTCAAAAATCCGGAAATCTCCATTTTTTCCTTCCAAAAATGAGTTTTTTACCTTTCGTGACGTTTTTTAATAATTTTCAACAGTATTTTACTATTCATGGACGTCACAAAAACCCAAAATTCTAGTAGTGCTTCTAAGTACGTTAACAATGGTTACCTAGGATTACACAATTGGAAATACCCTCACTAAACCAACGACATACAAACTCTTTTTTCATACAATGTCTACAACTACTCAAGTCTCTCTTATTTGGACTTTGTACAAATGAAACCTTAATAAAAGAGTTTTATTTATAAGAGGTCAAATATTTCAATCTTTATAGGAAAACAAAATATCCTACCCCTTGTAGGAATTGGTAGTAGTGTTTGAAAATCCTTTTAGGACATGGGTCATCTGTTTTGGCTCCATTATCCCAACAGTTGACGTCGAGATCTAGTCCTTCACTAGCGGGAGTTTGTAGCAGCGACAACACCCGCATACACCCTAAACTCCAGCAACCCCATTCACGACTCCGACGCTCAGATCTGTGGTGGATCCTTTGCGACAACAGCTCGACACCCAAGATTTGAAGCATTCTCTGACAACCCACGAACTTATCGGAGATAACCCACGGACAACGCGAACTCCGATGACTCGATTCACGACTCTGACGTTCAGATATGTGACCGATTCTTGCAACAGCAGCTCGACACTAAAGATCTGAAGCATTCTCTGTGACCCACAAACTCATCGGCGATAGCCCACGGATAGTGCAAACTCGAACGTCGACCCTCAAATTTGTGACAACACTACTTTTGATCCCGTCGTGAGCAACAACTTTTTAGTTACGTTCGACACTGACCCACACTTGATCGTAGTAAAATTCGTGTTACCCACCCTTTCTCGACATCGGACAACCAAGCTCGAACCTCTTCGAACTCGATTCTAGGATTTCTTTTTTTCCAAAGAATAAGCATACGTTGGGTATATCTTTAAGGATATGGATTGTTGGAGTTAGTTTTTGTATTTAATTTATTTGTTTAGCACAGTAAATGTGACACGATCCCCAAATCTTATGGAGTATATATATTTTCGGTACTTCAAAATATATATATAGCCTAATAACATATTAGAGTTCTGGGCCCATATGAGAATCACATAATAACTCCCCATACTCATATATATTCACCCTCCAAATAAGACATATATTAAAAGTTTGGGAGTTCACATTTTTACCCCTCACATCTCACATATCATTGTTGGACTAAAAAACTGTTTTTCCTGTAACAAAGCTCCTCGTCCCAATAAAAAACAAATTAAAATAGTCAAACATTAACATAGCTTAAATACTATTAAAGAGATATATGTTGTGTGAAATTTGAGATTCAAATCTGATGTGGTATGAAATCTCTGAATTCTAGGGATTTTAGTTTCCTTTCCTCTATTTGTTTCCTTTTGTGGTTTAGAACAATTTCTGTATATATGTATCAACTAAACCAAGAGAAAATACATTGAAAAAGTTCCAATTTGTCAAAATCTCCACCCATATTTGTTGACTAGATACGAAACAAACTAAAACAACAATWTTTTTTAGGTAAGAATAAGATTTAAACTTTCATTATAGAAACAAAGCAAACAAAAAAATGAGCGTTTGTACACAACAGTTTTTAAAACCCTCAAGTATGAAACCAAAAAGAAATGTACACACATTGAAACAAAGGACAATAAAATGTCTGTATATAGCTGATAAACTGTACACTACAAGAGCGAGCAACATCAAGACAGTGAAGATAATTGGTGCAATAAACGTTGGTAGTTTTTAAGGATCAAGAGCAGCATTTGGGGCATAAGTCTTGACAGCTTCGTTGACACTAAGGAAAATGTTGTTTGGTCCAATGAGCTCGTCGAAGTTTGCAGCTAAGAGCTTCTCCATGATCACTGGACCTGGATTTGCAAGGGCAAGCTCAAGTTCCTTCTTTTGTAGATGGGTGTGCAATCCTTCCAAGGCGTGGATGCCGCTCGTGTCGATATCGGAGACCGCTGCACAGAAGAAACACACAAGTAGTATTAGTTTTCAATCATCATCGTCGATGCATATATGAGAACGGCTTTTATCAGTTTGGCCGTTTTACTTACGAGACATGTCGACGACCACAACTTTGATCGGCAAAGATTGGTCTCCTAGCTTTTCTGTTTCGTCTGCCAGCCATCTCAGTATCCTGAAATAGATGAGAGATTTTGTTATCAAATATGCTCYAGCAGCAATGACTACTTGTAGAATTTAAATTAATTACAAGTTTAGTCCTTAAATTTGTATCTAATAAGTCTCTAAATTTTCAAAAGTGTGTAATAAGTTCTTGAAACTAATTGTATTTTTGAACTTTTAATTTTTATCCCTATAAAAAATTTTCGTACGATTTTTTTAGCCATCCAAAAAGTGGGCAAGTTGGAGAATGAAGAAGCTGTTAAATTTTGTTTTCTTATCATGTAATTTTCATCAATATTGAGAAATCCTTTTCGAGGCAGTGAAAAGATAGTAGACTAGAATTAATTGCTATGACCGTTATGCTTCAATCGAGTTATTCTATTCCACCTCTTAGAAAGAAAAAAACTTAAATCAAAATATTTAATAGCATCGTTTGCTGTATAATGCATACAGCTCTAGTTGCTAGTTGGGCCGGTTCACTAGCCCTGTACAAATTACCCTTTTCTTTTTTTCCTCTAATGCAGCTTGATGCTTATATAATGAATAGAGATTACTCTATTGGAGCTTGGTACAATTTTCCTTATTACCTTTATTTTTCTTCTCTAACTTTTACTATTACTATTGTAGAAAGAAAATCTTGGATCTGTAAACTCTTCAAAGTTTCCGAGAGGGAAATAGAAATGAAAGTGGAAGTAAAAAGTACCTTTCTTTAACATAGTTGGCATTGGAGAAGTATATTGCAGAATCAACCCTAACCATCAGAACTCCAGCAACCCTATTTGCTCCTGGGTACTGCAAAATGTTTCTAAAAATGGCGATCTTCGGGAGCTTCCCGAGCAATGCAATGCGCGGTCTCGTCACTTGCAACAGGATTTTGAACAACGATAGACTAACCTGTTAGATTATGTTATTTGAACGAGGGTTATTCTCGCATTATAAGATGATCAAGCGAATAGATAAAGAAATGAAATTTAGTTTACCGCAATGAGAAGGCCAATCTCAACGGAATCAAAGATGACGCCAAAGAAAGCTCCCATGCAGGCGATGAAGTCGAACTTGTCAATCTTCCATAGCAAAATAGCGGCATCGATGTCGATGAGGCCAATGACAGCGCAGATGATGACTGAGGCCAGGATGGCATTAGGGGTGTATTTGAAAAGCGGTGTGATGAGCTCTAAGGTTAGGAGAACGACGCAGGCCATGACTATGTTCGACACCGGTGTTTTGCAGCCGGCCATGTAGTTCACCGCTGACCGGGAGAACGATCCTTCATCGACCACCATAGCAAAGCTCGAAGGATTCAACAAAAGACAGAAAAGAATAAAGAATAGAAGAGAAGATAATGATGTTTATGTTTGGAAAACCTGTGGCTACATAGCAAGAAGTCATGGAGCCAGCAATGTTCATGGTTCCAAGAGCCATCATTTCTTTGTTACCATCGATCTGATAGTCCTTTAGGTCTGCAAATGTTCTTGCAATGGCCACAGCTTCCTAAAGTTCAAACAAAAATGCCTTTTTGAAATTTAAAATATAAATCATAAAAAGAAACACACTTGGAAACACTTTTCAAGACWCTGTTTTCCAAATTATAATTTTCTTTTTTGTTTTCCATAATCGATGTCGTGTGACTTATATACTAGCATATCTCTATAATCAGAATTTGTTGTCTAGACGGAACAATTTTATGACCAGCGCAAAGTTCAAACTTGAGATCGTAGTACCTCAAAGTCCAAGTACTATGTCATCCCCGCCTAGTAACACAAATAACCTAATTTTAGATCTAAWGGAATGTTATTTCTTTCAAAATTTTATGTTTGTAAATGGTGTTTCTAATGTTACGACTTGCATTCGAACCTCGACTTTTATGGGTCATTTTTATCGCAATTCTTGAAAAATATGTTAAAAATTAGAAGAAGAAAAAAAAATATATATATATATATATATAAAATGAAACAATGAAGGTCTACCGTTAGGGCAATCAAACCAGCAACAACTCCAATCTTGAAACCTTTGGCAACATAGTCTCCATGGAAGAATATCTCATCAAGGGATGATGGATTTATTCCCTTTTTTATGTTTCTCACCTGAAAATGTTACACCATATTTATTTATGTACAACCAACACATATTCTCTTATTTCTAAATAAATAAAAAAAAAACTATGCATCCACAATAAATATGTTTTTATTAAACATAAAATTAATTGGCAATAAATTGTTATTAAACAAATATTAAACTTGAAAATCTTTAGTTATTTTCGTGTTGTTTTATCATGTCCTTGGACGCCAAGATAATTTCAAACACATCTTTAATATGCAAAATCTGTAAAATATTAAATTCTTCAACTAATTTATTTACAAAATTAATGCAGACATACCCTATTCTAAATATGTCACATATAATAATACTCCTAATTGATAAATAGTATAATTACCCATTAAACATTAAAACATTGCTACATGGATTAAAGACCTATATAATCATCCCAAAATTTCATGGTTCAATCAGCATCTAACAATTATTGAACTCAAAATAATAAAAAAGCATATAAAAGGACTTACAATTTGTACTCCATGTTTATCTGCACGAGTGATGTAGACAAAAAATGTAGAGAGTACAACCGAGACTAAGGGAGCGATTGCGGGTATCCAGAAAAGTTTCTTATTTTTCTTTCCCTGTACATTAAAATCAACAACATGTTATAAATTAAACACCAAARTCTTACCAATACAAAAATAAATAATGAATGTCAAAATTTAATTAAGGAGAATGAAGCTCTTACAATGTATTTGGTAACAAGAAGAAAGGCCAAAAATGAGACGCCTATGAGAATAGTCTCCCAGTTCCACTGCAAGCCAACCCACAAACAAAAAAAAAGTCTTTAATAAATATATTTCCTTAAACTTGTTATACGTGCTTCTAAAATTTGAGTAAGTTATAAGTAACTACTCTCGTAAAATGGTAAAAGAAAAATTAATGATAAATAAAATAAAGCTAGACAGTTAATTATCATAAGACTGTTACTTTGTTTCGAAAAGAAGTCGTATTGAATTTTGTCCTTTATTTTGTCATGTAATGCTAAATTCGTCAACTTTGTTTAATAAACATATCAACCAAATATATAAGCTACCATAAAAATAAGAACAAAGAAATTAAGAAAGGAATAATAAACCGGCGAGGGCCAGCTTAATTTTAGGGAGGGAAGAAACTTACCCCGTGGTGCACATTACTCCAAACCGAGCGCATCACAGAAATAATATCAGTTTTCTTGGTGAAGTTTGCTATGCCGAGGAGACCCTTCAGCTGCTGAATGGCGATGGTGACGGCGGCGCCGCCCATAAACCCGACGATGGCGGCATGTGACAGAAAGTCGATCAAGAACCCCAACCGGAAAAACCCTAGAGCCAACTGGGTTACTCCGGCGAAGAAAGTCGCCGTGAAAGCCAGGCGCCTGTACTGCTCGGGTTGTTTCAACGGGTCGAACTCCTTCTGCAGCAGCGTCCCGAGCAAAAGCGACACGACCGCGACGGGGCCGATCGCGATATCCCTTGAGCTCCCCATTGCCGCGTACACCAGTGGCGGAACGAAACTACTGTCTGGAAACACAAGAATCCAAAGTCTTAATTTAACTAATAGATTATGTTAAATTTAATCTTTTATGTTAATAGATAATACTTTCTATCCTAAACTGCTTTTCGTAATTAAATTTTCAACGAGTAATAGAAAGAAAAAGATAACAACCTCTTCTTTTCTTCCTTTTATTAAGAAAAACAAAATAGCTTGCAACAGGGTGTTCTCTCCTCTACGTGTAGATTTGGTCCGCAATTAAAATGTTTTTAATAAATCTCTAAATTTGGAAGGTTATGCGTATGTATTTTTATTATTATTATTATTTTGATAACCGGGAGTTAGAACTTTGCTCCTCTATACTAGGGACACTCGCCTCAATCCCAAGACCCAAACTCCGAAGAAATGAACGGTTTTTTGTATTAAGTTCACTAAAAGATTCTAACTTTAAACTTCTAAAACGGTATGACCAAGAGATCCAAACCTTTGTCAACCAAAGTGCCTCTTGGGAGCTCAACTTTGTATGGAATGAGCCTATAACTTCATTATTTTAACTTTGATCCAATCCAACACTCAAGTTGCTCGCACGCCGAACTAATTTAGCCATATAGAGACTAACTAAACACAAAATTGAAATTTCAAAGATGTGTTAAAGACTAGATAGACACTTACAAAGTCCGATTTGGGGTGGGAGACTGGCGAGCTTGGCGTAACCAATGTCCTGAGGAATACAGAGGCTGGCAATGGTGAGGCCAGCAATAAGGTCCCCTTTGAACTTAGCCAGACTGTACTCTCTTCCCCATTGGAATATGGGGAACATCCCTTGCACAAACAGCGCTGCCTTCTTTCTTTTGGACTGGTCCTTGAAGTGCCTAAGAGGTTGGTCGTGGAAGAATGTCTCTGCCACCACACATCTCAGCTCCTCCCATGCGTTCTTCCTCGGCGGTACCCCGACCTTTGGGGGCGGCGCGTCGCTCCCCGACTGCCCCATCACCACCTTCTCAGCCATCGCCTCGTCGTACACGATCCGTCCACTCATTCTCGGGAGTGTGTGTGCGGCGAGCCGAGCAAGAGAAGAGAAGAGAGAAGAAAGCAAATAATGTGATTAGATTTTGTTTTGGTGTGAGGGCGGGGGAAGCGAGGAGGATTTATAATGGGAGTTGGAGATGTGATAAAAAGAAGGTCAACGGTTTAGAGCGAGAGAGGAGAGTGAGGTTTTCATAATAATGTACATGGATTACTATTCATTCCTAATACATAATCGTTTACTTTCTCTTTCGGGAAATTATTGAGCTTTTTCTTTAATGTTTTTCCTATTTAAATATAACCACCAACAACAAATTCTACGGTAAAATACGACTTTCCAATTTCATGTTTAATAAATTTATGAATTTTTCACTAAACCAAACATAACTCAAATGGTTAAGGTATATATCTCGCAATTTTTCTTTTTATGCATTTCGCTCTTCTATTTGTCAAAAATTTTATAGTGGTTAGCAAAAAGTGGTGCTATCTAGGCACTTAAATATATATATATATATATATATATATATATATATATATTTTATGTAGTATCATTTGACAAGTTCTCTCTAAAATATTTGGATTTTTGATTTTTTTTAAAGAAATAACATCAATTTACACATAACATATTTGGGTATTTGAAAAAAAAAAAATATAGTCAGCACCTATAAAAAACATAATAAATAAATATATACAGAGCAAAATATGGGTGATAAAAGTAAGCATCTAAGTACTTTCAAATGTTTAGTAGCTTGAGACTCTTTTCTTTTTATTTATTTCCTTCTTTCTTCACATTTCTTCTTACATTAAAGTAAGAATTTATTTTGCTTTCATACCTTTGGATTAAAATTAACTAAATATATGGATCCTATTGTCTATTTGGTGTATATAATATAATGTGTRTATATATATTTTGGGAAACTTGTCACTACTTCATGTTAATAGGTTAAATTGTATCCAAACATGTCTTGCACACAAAATGATTAGCTAGTTTCTTTTTTCCTTTATTTTTTTACCTGGTATATAATATGTTGTGAAGGATATATTTTTTATTTAGTAAAAACCAGCTACCTCTCATTTAGTAAGCGTAGTAGGAAGTTTCTATTGGAATATTTTATTCTTAATAAGTAATTGCATAAATTAAACAAAAAAAAAGGTTAATTTTAATATTAATTTTTATGCATAAACAGTACCAACAACTAAGAAAAGAACAAATTAAAGGGTCTGTTTGTAATAATGAGTTTTGAAAAACAGTGCTTTCCAGTGTAAACACTTCTTCGAATACTTTTGAAAGAAGCATTTCCTAAAAGCAGTTTAAATATTTTTAGTGGTTTTATAATTTTCAAATCTACGATGAAAATTTTTAATAGTGACTTTAATGGGCAAAAATACTCTTCATCCTTCCAAAATATTATTATACTATTTGCCTTCCTCAAATAAGGAGAAAAAAATGTGTCCCCAAAMAATGGGTAACACCAAGGCTAATGGTTATTTAGTGTGTGTCTATATGTATATAYATAGTTCAACAATTGAGACCGAGGGAAGAATGGAGAGCGAACCATCGACGTTAGGACCGGTAATAGTTGTATATCTTGTCCATTGAACTAAGATCGAATTTTTGGTTATTTAATGGTTAAAAAATACTTTTGATCCCTGTACTTTCGTTACAATAACGATTTAGTTCTTGAACTTTAATTCGTAACGATTTAGTTAATGTACTTTCAAATTTGTAACACTTTAGTCCCCAAACTTTAATATGTAACAATTTAGTATTTGTATTTGAAAGTTTGTAACGATTTAATTAGTCCTTATCGTGGATTTTTTTTTTTTTGTTAAATTTCTTATATATATAGATTGATAAACCAATGAGTGACTAAATATGTTTATAAATTAGAAAGATTAAATTGTTATATGATAAAACTTGCCACTTAATTTTAGTAAGATTTTTTACGATAAGGACTAAATTGTTACAAAATTTAAAGCGACTAAATCGTTACAAACTAAAGTTTAGAGACCAAATTGTTACTTTAATGAAAGTATAAGGACTAAATCCTTAGAAACTAAAATTTAGGRACTAAACYGTTACTTTAGTGAAAGTAGACTATTTAATATATTGAAATCATAATTAATTTTATCTTTTTTTRTAATATTCTATTGAGTTCCCACTTTCGACCCTACGTAAAATAGTTATCTCCAAGGAAAGCTTGTGGCCTACTAGATTTGATCACTTTTAATTTGACCCACATTAAACAAAATGGTAAGATTGTATATAATTATTGAAATATGTTGCCCAACTTTACATAGAATTAAAAGTTCCAACATTTGTACTTAGAGATGGTATTGACAGTACACTTTAAAGTTGGAATTTCTCTTTTTCACATGTACTCATAAATTCTTTGGAAGTTGAAAACATTTCACTTTATAAGTCCTGTTAATTAAAGTTTTAGAATTAATAAACCTTGTTTTCAACATTGCAACAAGTCTTGATACAAATGGAAGTACCAAGTAAAAATTAAGATAGGCCTTTCTCATTGAATAATATGAACAAGTACATCAAATGGGGATTTTTTAATAATTGGTTTTCCAAAAGTCAGATATTTTTCTTGTTTTGATGCTTCTAAGGAAAAGTAATAATGTAGAGCATAGGCTAAGTTATTAGAAAGATTATTGACTTGTAAATGGGACTAGAATCTCTAAAGATCCTGCTAGCTTCTTGGTTGAGATAACTTGATAACTATTTATTAGTAATGAGATCATATTAACAATCAGATCAAAATTTCCATATTSATTAGATTTGAAATTTTTATTTGGGGGTTAAGAGAAAAAAAAAGTTAATTTACATTTAGGTTCAAAATAGGCAATAACATATTAAATTAATATCGAGATAAGAGTATTTTTATCCAATTTCAAAAATAAAATCGCAAAAACATACCGATTTATTTTAAGGTGTTTCCTGTGTTATTATTTATATTGAATCCAGAAATAGGATTGATTGTCCATCCTCYTTTTACATACTAGGTAAGACAACATCTAGATAATTCAAATAGAAGTAATTGGAACCTTTTAAAAATTCATGGGAGAAAAAAAAATTCACAATAACTAAAAAATAATAAAATAATTGAATAATAATATACTTATGTAATAATAAATCGWTTATATGAAAATAAAAAATAAAAAWTGTTTTACATTTTGAGATATTTTTGGGAGTTGAAAATAGCAGGTTAGCACCACACACACCAAACTGTAAYCTCGACATTTCCTCGACATGAATAAATAAGACATGTTAACGTTAGACATAAAGATTTATAAATTAATATAACTATTTAAAGTTAACTACATAAATGAATCCCAAAAGAAAAAAAAAAGTTAATTACATAAATTTGCAATTGCAATATCTAGATGGGGTAAGGGTAGGTAGGTTCATAAAATTTAATTAAGAATGTCGTAGGTGTATTAGTCTTGATAAAGATTTTTGTTTTTTAGCTCAATGATTATAGGATTGAGGATCAAACRTCGAYATTTCTATGATAATAAATGTTTTTATCCATTTGAACTATGCTCAGATTAGTATACGGGTAGATTTTATTCAATACTGTTAATTAAAAATAATTTGGATCTTATAAAAATTGAGTCAACTAACCTGAGTTTAATCAAAGCTTCCAAGGCGACTGAACTCCACCAACTTAAATATAGTTCAACGAGTTAAGAYACCTACACTCGATCAAAAGGTGGTAAGTTYGAATTTCCTCACCCCACATGTTATACTAAGAAAAATAAAAAAGAAAACGACTAAATTTCTTCCGTTTCCTTAATTTTTCTTAAGAAAATTAATTTATTTAACCTAGCACCAAAAAGAAATAATAATTTGGTAAAAAGTCGGTTTTAGTTTAGAATCTTYCCACGCCATGCACGCATTGGCGATATTGTTAAATTTTCCGTCACATTAATTTATATGGCGAATCCAATAATGAATTTTTTCTTTTGTTTTTTTTCCTTSGGAAGGTATCCAATTAAATGAATTAGATACAATTAATATATGGTCATATTGATGTCGTTTCAGCATGGCGAAAAGGTATAAAAGCGATRGCTAATCTTCTCAACAAGTCAAGATATCAGAATCTCGACGAAAAAGTTAGAGGTTCAGATCTCTACCTCCACATATAATTTAACTTGAAAAAAATTGATATAATACCTGGTTGACATAAACATAGTTCAACTTATTAATATATTGTTCACTCCCCAAAAGGTAAGATGTTTGGATCCATTTATTTCTTGTTGTACTGAAAAAATCGATAAAACTTATGTCCGTATAATAATCATTTTATTTTAAATCTACTTTTTTTTTCTGATATCCGTGAGTGTCCGGGCTCACTTACTCTCACGAGACAACCGTCTGACCCTACAATATTTGATATCGAAAAGCACATAAGAGTTACTAATTCCTAAGTGGCCATCATGGAGTTTGAACCCAATTTTAAATCTTTCTATTTGAAAATATTAAAATTAAAAATGATGTTTTCTTTTAGTTTTCCATTTTTTTTGAAAAATAAAAAATTTGGAATTTTTTTTCAAACTTCACATCTCCTCTCAAGCATTRGGTAAGTATAAAAATACAATAATATTTTGATTATCCCTCTGCATAATATAATAAACAATGCTGGTAGAAAATAATTTCTTACTCCTTGAACTACTAAATTTCTATTTGATAGAAATAAATTTTAGACTGAATTATTATAAAATGCCATTTATCATTTTAGACTAAATTATATAATTAAATTGCCCCTTTATCATTTTTGTAATTASTTTCAAATTTGCCCCCATATCCCATCTAGGGAGTAATTTATTTATTCTTCAATCTTGCAAATTATAAATTTAAGTTGTTTTTTTTTTCTTTAACTAAAACAATTTGAAGATACGAAGGATTGGACTTAAAGAAAAAGTATATTCAGCTGTAAACTTATGTTATTTATTTTTTAAAGAAAGCAAATAATTGAGTGAGAGAACTTGAAGATATCATGATCATTTGCAATTTTTTTTAGAAAGTGGYTTTYTTACCTTATCTATCTTTTGTTATTCATTTATCTAACTTGGGTATTGTTTTATCA